GAACTGTATCCCCTCAGCATTACCAGCTTCATGACAGCATCAGAGCAGATTACTGACTGATTTAAACTGTGTGGGTTTCAAGAGCTATAGTTTAGAACTGACCACCACAACTGGCTGTGTTGTGTCTGTGGTGGCATCCCAACAGTTTTCATTTCAAAACATTTGTTATGTCTAGGACCAAAAAAAAAAAAAAAACCTAGACAAAAATTAAGTAATTAAATGCCGTTAACACAATTACTCCCCATGTATGTAATTTTTTTCTCATTCTATTAAATTAAGAATTACCATTTACTGACCACTTTTGGAAGGGCTCCAAGGACCATACTCTGTTTTCAGGGACTGCATGCCACGCTGACGCTTCTGGTTCTGCAAATTCTGAAGCTAAAGATCAGTGGGTGAAAAACATAGAGAATGTAATAAAACTCAATACAGTTATTGGTAGAGATATGTGATTCCAGCCAACTTGGAGAGGGAGACATGAATAGACCAACTCTACAATCATAGCTGGCACAGTGAATTCTAGGATATGTTTGTGCCTCTTTGGTTACAATGAGCAAGGTATAGCTCAGAAAAAAAGTGGAAATATAGCTGTTTGGTATATTTTATGAGCTGTTTCCCATCTTTACCAAGAGCGAAGAGCAAACTTGGAAATTATGGCTGTTTTCTCTGTCGTCTTTCTATCTTAGAAGATAGATACACCCCTGTTTTGAAGCATCTTATGGCCCAGTAGGTGATAGGTTTCTCTATCTACCTTTCAAATCTCTCCATCTTTAGGTCTCTAGACCGGAACTGTGTCTGAACCAAATGTAAATAATATGTGTGAATGGTCAATACAGAACCCTGATTTATTGCTGAACCCCTCTGTTCTTCTCTGTCTAGAAACAGGTAGGACTTGTAAGAGTTCTTGTTTTTCTCTCTTTCCTTGCCATTTCTCTTAGCTGATCACTGTGAACTGATCCTATCACCCATGCTAGTCTATCAGGTGAAGTGATAGTACTCTGGGGTCAAAACAGAGATTGCAGGGTCTCATATTTTTGAATGTTTCTCCATTAAAAAAAAACAAACTTTCTGAATATTTTTAAAAAATATTATCATATTTTTTCTCCTACATATCATGAGGAGAGCATTAGTAAAATTGTTGGTCTGATGTCTTTGCCTGTCCTAGTTAGACTGTCTTTTATACAAAACATTCAAAAATTGATCCTAAATGTCTGCCCTATAGCTGCAGTCTGTGCCTGGCTTATTTTTGAATTCTTTTCATACTTCTTGTCTGTGGTCCAAGATACTTTGTTTTCCATCCTCAGTTAGGTAAGATCTTTGAAGGAATATTCTTCTGGGAGTTGGATGAAGCATTAGGGCTACCAGACCTGGGCTGCAAAAATCCTGATGATTATTAGATGCAGCAAGGAATTAGAATTGTCTATATTTGCTGCCAAATACATAAAGCATTACTATATTTCTACTGGTAATGGAATAACAGTTAAACAGATGAATACCTTTAGTTAAAATAGATATTAATCTCTAGCAAGTTAAGATCTAGAAAAACTCATGCAAAAAAAAGAATCAAGATATATCCTAGATTAATGATTGTTAAATAAGCAGAAGGAGAATTTGCACAAAATCACGTTTCTCATTTTTGCTATATTGATTACCTTGCAGTGGTCCAGAGCAGTTTCCCACATATCCAGCTACTCTGAATTTCTCTTTAGCTCAGCTCGAGTGGGTTAGATCCAAATTTGATTGAAATGTATGGGACTTACATTAATAATCATTTCAGTGGATCTCTTCTAAGTATAACTAGATCTGGATGATTCTGTAATATACAATGAAAGTATAAAAAGGTGACCATTTGGTTCCTCTGCATAGTTCTTCAATTTCTCCTGGAAATCAGTTGTAGGATAACTTAGGCTGCAGTCATATCAGTAATTTAATTGAGAAAAAGACCCGCTAAGCTCACTCAATTCTTTATGTTCTGAATGAACATTCATAGAATTATGCCATTAGCTGAGCACACTAAAGTATTCAAATGAATATTCACCATGAGTTATTAAGAATAAAGCTTTGTTTACAGTTATCTTTGTGTGAGTCACCATAACTGTGAATTACTTGATTAAAATGAGTACAACGGTCACAAAATAGAAGTCATTGAATCTCAGAGAAAAAAGGGAATAAGTACTCTAAAGGAGGTGATAAGTTCAGCTCCAGAGTCAAGAGGAAGTTAATAGTCCCTTTTTGAAAGGAGTCAATACTTAAGAAGAGAGATCACTCTTGAGCCTTCAAAATTAGCAATGAGAACTGATGAGTCATAGCTGCGGGGTCCTGAAGGGCTCTAAGACAGGGCTCAGAAAGGATCCTGAAAACCTTTAAATCAGCTTGTGCTAACAGGCCTTGCTAATATCAACAACTAATTCACTGGCCACTAAATCCTGTACTTTTGCCCATTTAAGAAAGGACATTTTAGGACCCTAGTTACCTGAAGTATCAAAGACATATAAAAGATAATTGATATGAAATGGTACATGAAGAAATGTAACTATCTTAGCAAGGTCAAAAATAGTGTCCAATTCAGAACATGACTCCATTTGTATTGTTCCAAACCAATAAGGGCTACTTTTTAGAGGAATACAGTCTAAATCAAAAGCTTCAGTAAGTTCACTTTAGTTGTATGTGTTTAATTTTAACTGGTCAGCTGCCCAGAGTCTTGGGAATTGGGTGGTAAATAAATTCTTGGGCATAAATAAATAATCAATCAATCATGGGTAAATGCTGTTGATAGATCTGACCACTGTTAATTTTCTCACTTACTTTAAAAGCCATTTAAACCAGTGGTCTTTTAGTTGCCCATCTGACAGTAATGTGATGTGATGTGATGTGATGTGATGATATTGTTGTTATGTTGTTGAGTTGTGATGTTTATCAACAAGACTGTTCAAGAAAATGGATTTATTCCACACTCTTGCAGTTTGTTTTTCCCATCACAAGTGACACAAATTAATACCAGTAGACTTCTAACTCATTTATTTTTCCTTTAGAACTAAAATGCCAGAGAGACAGATAGTGAAACTAGATCCAAGCTACTGAAAATGTACACATGCAACCAGTGGACTCTGCAGGGTCAGGTTGGGGTTGGGGGACAACAGGGGGAAAATGATGGGAGCAGCATCTTGATGCAAGCTCTGCCCCTTTTGTACATAGATTTTGATGTCACACACGTGCACAACATGGACACAGGCTGAGCTTGTATCAAAATGGCTCAACACTGCTTTTGTCATTTTGACCCTGCTGAAATGAAGTACAGTTACGTTGCTCTGCATGGACACCTTGTCTTTGTCTACTGAATTAGCACACAAAAGAACTACCAGTGGAGTCCAGAAAGCTTAACTACTGTATTGTGGTAAGCCACAATAATTTCATCTGTGATTACATTTCCCAGGATTGTTGTGAACTTTTTTCAATGGCTTATATTGAATAGGATATCTAAAAACAAAGATGGTGGGCAAGCAAGGCCTGAGGATTTTATCAGGGTGATTATGCTTGCTCAAATATGGCTCACAACCAGTTTGGATACATAAGTGTAAATGGGTGTGTGTGTGAAAGGGAAGGAGGCTGCCAGCACCATTGCTTCATTTAATTAGACTTTAAAGAAGTCTTTTCAATTTCTGGTTCTATTGTGGTCATAATGGGATATCCCCAACAGGACTCATTCCAACAATAGGTCAGTGGACATTGAAGAATTTTGCTTTGTTTAGCTTGACCTATAAAAATTAAACGATAGATACATTTCTATCTACATATAGACTTTTTTCAAAGGAGAAACAGGAGAGCAACTAGCTTCAGGTAGATTGCTGAAAATGATTCCTACTCCAGCTTTTGTCAAAGAACCTGAAATCCTACTATGTGGAAAGGAGGGCATTTTGTGTTTGGACCCAGCCAGATGTGCTGAATTATGACTTGGACAATGATGGAAATTATAGAAGTTGAAGTCTCACATGTCTAGAGGCACCATTTAGAGGGATACTGGCTTTTTTTCCATCATCTCTCTGAGCTTTGTTGAAAAGGAAAAGGGGTGGCTTCAACAGTAGTTGCTTTCTATCTCTACTTCCATCTCCCAATTGAGTTAAATTGGGAAGATGCTTTTGGGGAGTCACTTAAGTTTCAAAGAATTTTGAAAACTCTGAACTTGATCCTTCCTCACCTTTGATAAACAGCTGGCACAGCAACTTTGTTGATTTGTATTGGTCAGCCTTTTGCAGAAATTAAGGTTTCTTCAGGGCCTGTGAATTCATTTTCAAGGAATGAGTGCTGCACTGATTAAACTGCAGGTAAATGGTAGATTGCCTATCTGCCAAGGTAGTGATGGTTTTTGTGGGATTATTCATTATTACTTTTTAAATTCTGCTTTGGATCCATAGTGATACATTCACACATTGCCCTTAACCAGGCCAGATAAATGAATCTAGCAAATGTATTCATGCAACATCCTACATTTGGTTAGTGTTAGCCATGGTTAAATTTGGGCAGGTGTAGTATATTGTACAATCCTAGATTGTTTGTTAATTTATGGTTCACTGTTTTGAACAAACCAGAAAATGGGTTAATATATTGACCAGATTAAGCATCTTGGGGGTACCACAGCCATTGAAAAAACTGCATTTATGTTAGTCATAGAATCAAAAATCGTTACATGGAATATCTTAAGGTTCTATTCAATTCCCAACAAATATGACTGCATTTATTTTTCAAGTATGTGTTTCTAGTTCTTATGACTTTATAGCAAAAAAAAAGTCATTGTAAAAGTTTCAGGCATTATGCTTACAGATATTTCATTACCTGACTAGGTAGCATCATTAGTGCTGGTGAGTGTGGGGCTTGCTCCCTGTTTATATAAAATAGCTTGCCCTGCCAGAGTTGGTGAGGGTGTGGTTTTCTCCTGAAATTGATTAGGGTATTGCTTCCTGCTTGATTGTTTGTCTGGTGTTAACCCCTGCTTACCTGGGTGTTGGCTGCTGCAGAGGATGTGTTCTGGTCTTTTTGTTTCCTTCTTG